AGTCTTTGGTGCATTTTGCAAGTACCTGTCCCAGCAATCGACTCCAAAGCATACTTCACCACAGTGTGAGAACACTTTATGCCTACGATTGTCTCAAAGACCATCCAGCATCATGGAGTGCCTTAATACAAGTTTTTCCTTACCATTTATAGCATTTTTATCACTCTGACCTTCAGATCAATCTATCTTTCATATCCCTTAAAGGAGAGGTCAGAGGTCATATCGGATGTGGTATTTTAAACCTTTACATGGTACTTTTTATATTTTGACAACAGAGACCACACTTATAACTTAGAAACTATGATTCTTACAAGGCTTTTTGTCGATTTTCCATCAACAAATCATTAAGCTGACCTCGAAGACCTTTGTGGATATAAGCCAAAGTTTTTGAGCTCTCATATTTACAGGCAGAATGACCAATGACTTGGTGGAGGTAATAAAGACAAAGCACCAAATTTTGAACCTTCCTGATGTGCTCTGGGAGCCTGAAGCTCATAAATATTCAGTCTATGAAGGCAAAGCTTCAGTAAATACACTAAAGTTAATGTATACAAAAGAAAATTAAAATATCAGCTGAAAATATCGATTGCTTCACTTCGAGTCCAATATGAGTCTGAACAAAGTCAAGACCATGAAAATATATCGAGCTTTATTCTGACACCATCCAACATCTGGGAAGAACCATTATTGTGATATAAAGGCTTTGGAGAGGGCTGAAAGGCATGCACTCAGTTTACTGAGTAGGTTTTACAGCTTCATAGCTGCCATAACTCAAGCTTCAACGTAGGAAGTCCATATATGTCCATATACTCAGCCCTACCTCCCATAGTTAGCTTATTTAAAGGCAGCTTTTTTTCTAGTTACAGTTTTAGGATAACATTGTTATAATGAGATGGCTTTATAGTGTATTTCTATAATCATGCAACACGGAATTACAGTATTTCTATGTAGTTACGTCATTTTTTTCAGTAAATCTTTTAAAGAAAAAACTATTGTGAATTGTACATAATGTATCTCAAGAGACTTATAATTGAAATAAAGCTCTTAATAACAAACCCCAAGCAGTGGTTAAAATATTAAAGGACAATTCTGTGGCCTGTGAAAAACCAGCATATCAATGAGAAACTATATTTGCCTCACTACAGTCGGTACTGTGAGACATAATAGTGCAGTTTCATGGGTTCTGTCTTCCTCTGTGCAAGCTTTAATATGTATTCATGTGTTGAAAAGTATTTCAAGTCATTAAATCCATACCACATTTTAGAAAATCACTAAATGGTTTGTGCTATTTTTGTTCAGTATTGCTTTATAAAAGGGTTAGGGCTGTTTGCATAGCGTGTGATTCAAACATTGTGCAGCACACTTGCATGTGTACTTTTATTTTTCTCATATTTGTTTGTCGAAACTGCTTCTAAAGTCATGAAAATGCTGAAAACCTGGTGCAAGTTATTATTACTCCATCACATTAGTGGCTGTAAGGCAGCTGGCAATAATCAACTCATCATCACTGTTCACTCTATGCTGCATGCGCGCGCAATCGCGCACTGCTGACACGGTCTCCGAGCACAGAAAATCTGTGCTACGCACAAAGAATTCCAACCTGAATTCAAATTAAAATATATACGTAACAATTCATTCTGTGCCATTTTGCAGTGTGAGTCAGTGAGTGACCGGTGACTGGCGGCTCCAGCCAAGGATTCACATTTGTATATACGCAGCTAATCAACATCATTGACAGGTTATGACACCGGTGTTTTAGGTAGCAAAGCGGAAGACACACTAATGACAACGCGTACAACCACTGGAAATGTGAGTAGGGAAGACGGAAAATTTAAGGTAAAGTTTAGGGTCTCAGTCAGATTTGTGCACATAGTGTCATTTATTTACAATTTTAATTTGTGGATACTGATCAATAAATACTGTCACTAGTTTATGAGTAGTAGAAATACAAATAATTGTGTCATTATCAGAGATGGAAATAACGGCCGTTACTTTTTTCAGTAACTAGTAATCTGAATAATTACCATTTCAATCATTACAACGCTGTTACTAACAAGAAAATGCGGTGTGGACTCTTTACTATGTTTCAACGCACAGACGCTTGAACCTATCTTCAGCTTACTGGGAGCTAGGAGGGGGAGACAATCGCACATGTGCTACTGATTAGCTGAGGAAGAATAAAGTAGTCATGGTAAACCAATCACATGACCAAATTAAGATGACATAGCAAAAAGATGTTATGTCAACCCAAGACAACCCCGATTTCCATTTTTGTCTTAAAGTGTGGACTTCAAACTATATACCAGTTTTTAAATTGTGTTGATGGGCCATGTAAAACCACAGTTGTGATTAAAATAAATATATGTGATGTTTATTCCTGAACACTATCGTTGTTTATATTTACTGCGGCAAGAAACTGTAAAAACTGCGTTTTCTAAGGAAAGCGCTCGAAAGCGTGTGAGCAAAGCCAAAAACCAAAAAAACCTCCGCCCTTTCCTATTGGTGGAAAAATGTACCATGTTGACAAATCAACAAATGATATGGCAACATGGCATTTGGTTGTTTAGGAACAAGGGGACGTTGTAGGAGTGACTGCGGCAGGAGATGTGAGAGATTTGTGACGTTAAGCGTGTTTGGAGTCGAAAGGTAGTGTGTTGCGTTGTGTAATTAGTGTGTAGTGTAGTCGATAGTTTTGTGTGTGTAAATAATTTGTGTGGCATCTTATTTGATACAGACTGTAGCAAATTGGTACAGTTCAGGTTAGTTTTACTTCCAATAGTGTTAACATACTACACAGGTCATGAACAAGATTTTTTAAATTTTTCATTGTAAATGGGATAAAACAGTTAATTAAAAGGATTCTAAAAGAAATGTAAATACTGTAATTAGATTCTTTAATAAACCATGTAACTTAGATAAATGAGTGCAAACGTCTGCTGTTGCTCACAGTGGTCCAAGGGACCGCTCAGGGAGTTTGTGTGTTTGCTCAGACACATGAAAAATTAGAGGGAACATTGCTCATCATATAAAGAAAAATAACATTATACAACAATATTTGTTGTGTTTTATGTAAAAAAGAAGACAAACAGGCAGAGCTCACAAATTCATTTCCTGTAGAATAGTAAGAGGTTTGGTATCAGTGAGTTTCTTATACCAAAGTGCTTCTAGAAGTAAGTCTTGGCAGTAATACTTGGTAGTACAGCGTCTGTATTGGCTAATCACTTGTCATTTATGAGTCATCAGCCAGTGAGCGAGTAAAACACTCAGCTGGAGCTTCACAACTGGACTTCACTAACCAGAAGTGTTGGTCAAGTTACTTGAAAAAGTAATTAATTGCTAATTACTTCTCCAAAAACATAATCCAGTTTCTTTACTGATTACTTCTTTTCAAAAGTAATTAATTACTTTATTACTTAGTTGCTTGGGTGCTTTTTAAAAACATGATACACAACCTGAATAGGTAATAAACCATTTGAGCTGATAGGAATGCAACAGTAACTCAAATAACCACCTATTACAATCAAGGTGTGCAGAAAAGCATCTCAACAGTAGCAGCAGACCACAGCAGATGCCACTCCTGTCAGCTAAGAACAGAAAATTGGGGCTACAATTCACACAGGCTGACCAAAGTTGGGCAACAGAAGACTATAACGACATCACCTGTTCTAATACCATCCAGATGATATGGTTAGAATTTGGCATGAACAACATGAAAACATGGATCCATCTTGCCTTGTGATGTGCAGCTGACAAATCTGCATTAAACTGTGTGATGCTACAATCTCAAAACCCCCAGGAATGTTTTCAGCACCTTGTTGAATCTATACCACAAAGAATTAAGGTGGTTCTGAAGACAAAAGAAGGTCTAACTCAGTACTAGCAAGGTGTACCTAATCAAGTGGCCAGTGAGTGTATAGCTAACCCTTTAAGACCTACCATAGAACCAAGTTCGCCAGAGCTTATATTATATTTTTACATGCTGTAGTGCCATTTTTGGGAGCATTTCAAGTTGATATACATCAATACAACCATTATAGCCCAAAATTAACTATTTCCAGCAGTGCAATTTGAGTCCTCAGCATCCCAGAAACGATAAAGAAAGTCATAAAGTCAAACATAACTTTTAAAAACACCAGTATAGGCTCGTAAGGCCCTGAAGGTAAAAAAAACTGCATTTCTGCAAAATGACATCACTTCCGGTTTCGGGCAGGTCATGGCAGACATGCGATAGTTCACGCTGATGGACGTAGGAAGTGTTATGAACAGCTGATCGGATCGGCAAAGCATGTTTCTGGAATATTATGTTTTTGTTGCTGTAAGTGCTTTTTATGCCATTTTTGCAAAGCTATATGTGGAAGGAAACCGTGACATAGATCAAGCTGATGGCATAAGATGTAAGTACAACTCCTCCATTTCATAAGCAAAAAAAATTACATGGTTGCAGTTCTACCCGGATTTAAAAATAGTTACGCAAAACAGAGCGTGCCTGCTCTGACTGGCTTTAAAGGGTTAAGAGAAAAAAATAGTCCTACAAATGATATTTCTTTTCTTATTTTTTTTTATATTTTTTTTTAAATAAGTTAACAACTATTTGAAAATTCTGACAGTCCTCAGTGGTTATGTCCATCTTTTACATACAGGCTATGGCTAAAAGGTAACAAAACGGCAGCTATAGCTCAAATAGAAAACCAGTGAGTATGAGTCACAGACCACTGGGAGGCTGTGACTGGAATTGAGCGTTAAACAGCACCCAGTTTAAAACCAGTCAGAGGCAGATGGCCTCGTGGCTGTACTTGTTGATCTCTGAAGGAATGAATTCAGATCAGTGCTGCGAGGCTTATTACATAAGCAACAGTTGGCGCTTCAGAGCGCTCGTCTCTGGCAGCTTGCAGGTTATTCCGCGAACAGAAACGCACCTCTTTGTCCTCTCCCTCCCTCCCACCCACCTTCCCTCTCTCGCTCTCGCTCTCCTCTCCCCCCTCATCCTCATCATCCTCCATGCTCTGTGTAGTGACAGGATTTGTGTCGGTGCAGATCGGCTGTGTTTGCGGCTGACGTGAGGAGTTCCCGGCTGAAGCTCCTGCGCACACACACACGCACACACATATATTTTCTGATCCTCAGAGGTTCCCCGCAATCTGCCAGATTTTAAACCAGCCTGCTGTTCTCCGGATGAGACGGGACCACCTTTTGGGCTCCTGCGTCCTCCTGTGAGAGACGTCGGGAGCCTCGGCATCAGCCCCTCCGTCCTCTTATGTATCCACACGAACCCCGAATGAGCGCAGTTTCTCCTCATAAATGACCGAGCTCCGGCCTTCCACCTGCTGCGACGAAATCTCCGACATTTAACCAGAAACCGCAAGACACGGAGACTACCTGTTAGCTTCTCCCACCCCCTCCACCTTCTTCTGCTCCTCCGGGCTCCGCTCTGCGCTTTTCCGTGCCCTCGGTGAGAGAGCAGAGGCTGGGATTTAGGCTGCACACCTACTGACCTACTTCGCGCAAGTTGGGAGTCCGACCCGTGCGGTCTGGCAAAACTGTGCCCTCCACAGCAGCAGCACCAGCAGCAGCAGAAGATGACGAGTGATGTGGAAACAGTGGTGACCCCGTGGCGAGACCTTCAGTAAATAAGCAGCAGGGGGAGGTGGGGTAAAGGAGGTGAGAAGGTGAGGAAAAGAAGAAAGCGTGCAGAAGGAGCCAGAGGTGCTGCTGGTGGTGGTGGTGTGTGCGTATTTGTGCGTGGAGACATAGGAGGAGGTTATGACCGTGTCTCTTCACCTGGATCTCGGGCTGATGCTGCTGCTCCTGTTGGCCTGCTGGCAGACCCCGGGGATGGTCGGAGGAAGTGAGTGTCCCGTTTTCCTTCTCTGTGTGTCATATTTAATCTAAATATAAGAAACTTTAGGAAGCAGTGACAGGATTGGCACAAACAGCTGGCATAACTCACATAATTATGACATTTTTACGGCATGATGGGACACAGGTGTTTGAACACATGTCTACCACGCTGTTTCTCTCCATTTAAGCTCATTTGAAGCAGCTTTGTCTTTTTTAATCAAGCTGCGTTCAAAACTCCATTGGAAAAACATCGAATTTTTAAAAAGCCCAATGTCCTTGTTATATCTGAGCAAGGACAAGAGCCTCGTTTTGCTTTGGCTCTAGAAATACCTCCGTCTGACTGATAAGAAGTAAGAAGTGGAATGGTGATTTAAATGCAGTGTTAAAAAAACAAAAAACCCTACATATATATATATATATATATATATATATATATATATATATATATGTGTGTGTGTGTGTGTGTGTGTGTGTGTGTGTGTGTGTGTGTGTGTAGCTCTGCCAGGACGGCCTCATTATTTTCATTCTTTTGTATGATCTGAAAGCAATCATGAAAAGGCGATACTGTTCACGTGGTGTTCTGCACAGAAAATGGACAGCTGAAAGCCCACACATCATCATTTTTAAGCTGCAAAAGTTTGCAAAGATGCCAAACACAAATAACAACCATCAGTGTAAATACCATGTGGGACAAAAGAGGGAAAACCTGGATGTTAGCCTGTAAAAACTGGCGTTATATGCAGTAATAATAAGCTGTTGGCCCTGAAAGATGATCGATATTTCGTTATCATCTACAGCTTTAAGTACGTGACAGCGGCGCGACTCTACATTGACACACTGCTTTGTGTGTCCACCTGTGTGATTTGAGGTGAGTGGAGCGTATGCTGCGCTCTGTTTACGCCTCATATTTCAACTAGACTAACAGCTGTTGTAAAAGTGTCCCAACCTTAATTGAATGCTTATCGGGGGATTAGAATTTCAAAGCAATCTCTCTCTCTCTCACTCCTCCTTTGCTCTGTTTAATTAGCTGTTGCAGGAATGCACCTAAATCACCCAGACCACTGGTCACATCCCCCCTCCTCTGCACCTTCCCATGAGGTTTAATCCAAAGTAGCCTTTGGCAAATAGCACCGAATTAACATGCTTCTTTTTGGATGAATACCAAAGAGCAGCTAATCTGCGCTTACAAGGTTCTGTATCGATTTATCCAATGAGCTGCTATGTCTTTATATCCCCCCACACGGCCTTTACCTGCTCAGCTCACGTCACAGACGTCATGTCTTTATGGGAGCTCATCAACCACGCTTCGTTTTCCTGCTCTCTGCCACCCATTAATTTTAAATGCAGATTTCCAGTCATGACAAACAGCTGCGGGAGGAAGCCTTTTTTTCCCTCCTTCACCATAAATCACAGACAGCAGCACTTCAGGAAGCGACCGGCGTCTTATTTTAAAAAGATTGATTCATGACTTTGAAGCAGCAGGTGATATTACACCTGGTTATAGCTTTGTGTAAAAATATTTGTTCTATGTTTTATGAGATTGAAAATTGTGCTTTTTCAACAAAAGGCTTTGGCTAGCACAACAATCTGTGTTCAGTGTGAGTTACATTCTTAACAATGCATTACCCGCACACGGGGGATTATAATAAATGAGTTGCTTTATCCTTTATGATTATGTATGTTCTTGTTTTATAAGTATCTTCCTTTGCATGCCTTATATACCCACAAAGTCCATAAAAAGAGGTGGATGTTAGCTTATCCCAGACTCTGAGCAGGATTATAAGCAATGTTAACTGGCTGAAGAGTCTTCAGTCAAATAAAAAAGATTTTAACACTGAAACAAATGGAATTTGTTCACTGGGCGTTAAACTAGGGACCAACCTGAATCAGAAAATTAAAATTCCAACATGTGCAAATCTAAAATCTTTGCTTAACAGGCATGATCAGTCATTTTTGATCCAATTTATGTCTTTGTTTGAAAGTAAAAATGAAAAAATGCATCCCGGGGATTAGCTCTGCCAGGACGGCCTCATATTAGCTACTTGCTGATATATGAGTATTAGCCGATAGTAAAAATCTAAAAAGCAAATGATGTTGAATAGTTTCACAAAACGCATGTTTGGGAGACCACCAGCTGCCAACTCGAGCAGTTTCGGGCATAAACATGTAATCAACCACTTTTTGGGTCAGTAAAACAATTATATCATATTAGTGTTACGACATGTAAGTAAGAACTCATAAATAACTACACATATCAAAAAAATTATTAGCTAATGTATCGGATTTTTCACCAAGTATCGGTATTACGCTCAGTATTGGTATAAGGATCAATATCAGTATTAGGTATTGGTATCTGTATCGGTCTTAACTTTTCTATGTATGTTGGGCCCTACAGAGGATTATGTGGAATGAGTTACATTACCTACAGTTAATATTTTGTTGTGGTGGTGCCGTCATGTTGTCATCCTGACCACAGATTGAAGATGGACGTAGTCACTGCTACATCTCCCGACAGTTAGTGAAGTCCTGTTATGAAGGCTTGAACTGAGCATCTGGCTCTGAAGCCACACACTGCTCAGCTAACGACTTGTGCCTGACAAGTCATTTAACATGTGACAAGTCTTCATTTGAGCATGACCATCTCTTTTTGCTTTGTATGATTCTGGTCTGAAATGCTGATTTATCAGCTGCATCTCCTGATTTCAGGAATCTGCTCCCTGGTGTTGCTGCTCTAACACAGAGAGATAAAGGTCTTATTTTAGAGACCTACCGAGTCTGCCTTAGGAGGCTGCAGGTTTCTCAGCTAGGATACAGTGCATCGTGTGTTTTCATTTTTGCTTATTTTGTTCTTCACATGCGTATTTGTTTTGTTTTTTCACTCACTTTTAACTTTTGCTTTCAGTAGTTAGCATTAGGCACTAAAACCTGACTCGGTTAGGTTTAGGAATATTGGCAAATGATGAGTTGGGAGTGCCAGATCCTTTTGCTCGATGTCACAACCCTGTCTGTCTGGGTGCACGCTCGAAAGGACACCTCATGCATGAACCTGGATGCCTGTGGTTCTGACAAAATAACGATATGCTTGGCCATAGGGGCATATTTGCATCACTGCAATGGATGCTTGACGGCCAGTACTACACAGTGATCTCCTTCTCCTACATGGTTGTATAACCATGCAGAGGAATAGCTTATGTTGATTGTGAGGTCCCAGATTTCAACAAACATTGGAGCTAATTTTCATCTTACGAATTAAGAAGATGCTGCAGCAAAATGTGTTTCTGAAAACCTCTGAGGCAAGAAATACGCATCGCTTAGCCGTCTTTTCATTTTAGCCAATTTTTTGCTTAAGTTGTCAACCTTCAAATAATATCCCACATCTAGAATGACAAACTAAAATTAGAATATGTTATCCCAAGTCTTATTTATTAAGGAAACTGAGAAAACAGTTATAGGTCAAAGAGTGTCTAGTCTAAACTAATTTGGATATTAAGAGTAAATGTGGGTGATGTGCAAGGTCAGTCTACTTACATTTTTTTCAAAAATGAAAATTTAAACACCTGCAGGTTTGTGTCCTTTGCTTAAGCCGCACATGCACACGCTCAGCTGATATTTTGAATAGTTTGGGGTGACATTTTAGTCTTTGTACCAGCAGAGAATTCAGCAGAGGCACTTTGTCGCTTTATTTGGCATGCACTCAGTGTCTAGTTCTGATTGGCACTACTTCAATATGAGTTTGTTATTGCATCTGTACTCTACAGTGATTACAAGCTAGGATTTCTAACAGAGGAAGGAGAGTATTAGCCACACTTTTTAATATAAGGCAGTCCACTGTGACACCACCAACAGCTCTGACCTTCATTATAAACTTATATTTAAAAGGCCAGTGTGTGTGCTCTGTAAAGGAGTCGCTATATTTGAGCTTTCTTTATCGCGTGGCAAAGCTCTTGCCAGCTTACGTGGGATGTGGCTAAGTCTAGTCAAGTAACTGGACCTCGCACGACAATATTTTTAGTCCGTATGCTGTCAAAGCCAAGAATAAATTCCCAAGATTTATTTGCAGTTGTGTTTCTCTCTGTTGCATCTCGCCGCTCCCTGATGAAAACCTCGGGAGTGAGACGAAAGCTGTCCTACACGGGTCTTCAGAAAGGAGAACAAAGCAGAAAGATGAGCATAGAGCTTGTAGGGGGATCATAAAAATGCACCAACTGCAGACACAGGAGGTATTTATTTTAAAAGGAGCAGGGTAAAGTGCTGCTTTATTCCAGCAGCGAAGCCTCTCTTTATACTCAGCTCAGCCTCACATAACTGCCTCAGCTCAGTGCTGATTGTCCTTATCTTTCCATGGCAACCTGATGATTTAAATGAAAATTCACACACAGAATTACCAAAATTAGACAATGTAACACTAGAAAAATGTTGCTTGGTCTGATGAGTCTCGGTTTCTGCTGCAACAGTCAAATGGATCAAAATTTGGTATAAACAAGATTAATACAAGGCAGGATGGATCCATGCTTTCAAGATTCAGGCTGCTAGTGGTGGTGGTGTTATGGTGTGGGGGATAGTACTAAGACTCGTTGCCAACCATGTCCACCCTTTACAGTTTACAGTTGCTAGGCCAGCAAACGTAAATTGCCATTCTCATGAAAGGATTCCTAATAGGACATGCAGGGCACACGCCCAGGGGTAAGGAGGACTCGTAGTGTCAGCCGCTAGGGTTCAATTAATCTTTCATAATCACGAAGAAACATAAATGTATGGAAAGCAATAAGCATAGCTCTGCCATGTAGATAGAGAAACAAAATGATCACAGAAACTATCACCTGGTCACATCCAGACATCCAGTGAATGACATTTACACAAATAGTAACAAAAAAGTCACTATTTGAAATTTCCTCAAAGGTGACAATATAAAAGTTACACTAAACAAGAAAGTAATGCAAGAATATAATGGAAAGCACAAAATGTGTACAAAGAGGCACAAAAGTAATGGAAAACAACACAAATGCA